TGTCCATCCCCCATGTTTAACGGAATAATATACAGCCTATGTCCACCCTGAAGTTCCATTCTAAATATTGGTGAAAAAATTTTTGAAATAGGATGAGTAGTTTCGGAGATTACCTGCTGCATACAAACTAACATACATACATACATACATACATACATACAAACATTACCTCTTTATAATATTAGTATAGATGACCTGAAAGTAATTAATATTTTTTTTTGCTTCTTTCGAATAAAACGTAATTATAACTACAAACGAAACAAACTTGCTACATGCTCTGTCTCTTGCTTGTCGTATGGTGTTATAAATTCCGCCAAATCGGGTTGTTGCAAAAATAAACGTCTGCCATCGTATTAAAAAAAAGAAAATGCCTGTTAGAAATCGGACTGGAGATCGCTATGAAGCATATATTATTATCAACAATGATAATCACAATCCCTATTATTTTATTTTTAAATAAAGCACTATGAAGATGAATATTTTTCATCTTTTGCTATAACCAGTGCTGTAACTAGCCATTCCTGTGCCCTGATCAAAAATTTGCATTTAGGCCCCTTAATTAATTAGGTTTGGGAAAATAATAAAGCAAATACATGCATTTTGGGCCTCCTTTCAAGTGGGCCCTGTGCAGATGCAAGTGTTGCACCTGCCTAGTTTCGGCACTGGCTATAACAAATATTAGTTTTCTTCTCGGTATTATGAAAAAGGTAGGCCTATTCAAGCATAGTTTTCATCATTTTTATGAAATAATCTTTATTTATTTTTTTTTATTTACAGAAAGCGTCTTAATTTATATTCCGCTCAATCTATGACGCGTTACAATTTAGTATTGTTTATTTCTTAAAAGTTTCTTCCATTTCTTTTATTTTTTAAAATGAAGTAATACGTCTTTATTATTAACACATTACTCTTAATATACTAATATTAACATTTAAAAAACAGAGCATTATTAATTACATTACGGTACTTTAATTACGTAAATTTATTCTAGAATTTTCATTGACGTCACAATTCACATCCTGAATCGTAGTCAAGAATGTTAATGACGTCAGTATCTTCGTAGTAAAGGTAGAAATTTGTAAAGTGGTGTAAGTTCAGCACATTTGTTAAGTTTTTTACGTTTTGTACGAGATAATAGAAATTAGTTTGATTGAAAAATGTCAACTCCAGCACGTAGAAGACTTATGAGAGATTTTAAAAGGTAATTATTACTAATATATGATTTGACAAGAGTCATCATTGCATCATCACAGATCTCATCTTGAAAATTTTCCTTTTATTTACCACTAATTGAGAAATATGACTCCAATTTATATAGGCTATTCACATACAACTTCTATCTTATATTAATATTTTTTATAATCTACAATATGATATTACAAATTTTTAAGATTTGGCATTTAAATACAATGAAATATTTATATTCTCCTTTCCTCATATGTTTCATCAATTTGCTTTACTTCCTTTCAGTTTCAATAAGGGTTTTGATTTCTATTTTTTAAAAACTTTACAACAAAATTAATATAAATTAAAAAGAATCGTATCTCATTGCATTAAAATATTAATATTGATGTAGAAAAGTATTCATACATATATATGTATATATGCTAGAAAATGCTACATAATTCAGTAAATAAGCATGTTTATATGCATACTTGTAACACTCGTGAATAATTTTTTAGAAAAATACATATTTCTTTGTTAATTTTTTTATTATTTGTAAGGATAATGCTTCCAGGCAGGAAAGAACTGCCTCTTGTTCAACGATCAGAATAATCCCCTTTAAAAATGTATAATAATAATCGGTATTTCTCGAAATGTGTAAACCGTTCGATTTAAAAATTTCCTTCGGCAGTGTGCTGGAAAAAAGAAATTATTAGAAATTAAGTTTTTATTATTGTTATAGTGATTTTTTTTTTATGTACTACTAGTAAAAATATAAGCCAATTTTTTTAAACATACTGTAACTGTTTTGATTTTGAAGGTCTTTCTGTACCGGTGTATGCAATTTGATATAAATAACTACCCTAAATAAATACTGCAGATGTCTTTCTTTTTTTTTTTTTTTACTGAATATGAATGTAAGCAAATGTAATAACTTCAATAGTAGTACAATTTATATAAATTGGTATTAACATATTTACACAGGAGAATATTTTTGACTTAACTCTTGTCAGCTGCTAAAATAAAACAGAATATATTTGTGCTATAAAAAAACTTGTATATGAAAATTCTTACTTTTATATAAAAATTAGTGTATGATATGATATCAAAAGTATGAAAGTAAAAAAGTAGTTTTGCCAAAATATATTTATACAAAGAAATGTTAATTTTTCAATTTATATGCATTGTGTTAACTTGAACATAAACACAATTATTATATGAAATTAAAAGCATTTTAATATTTATTAACATTACTATTTAAATTAACCATTTACTTCAACTCTTAAAAAAAAAATTGCTCAAAATATAGGTGAACTGTCTATATTAAATTGAAATCTATCACATCAACTCTCAAGGTAATTGACTTAAAATAAACTTAAATGTAACACTTAAAATTTATTTTCTAAATAGACATATCATGGTCTACTTGGTACAGGTATCAAGTAGGAGTAATAAATTGTAAACACAGTTCATTAATTAATCTTGCTTGTATGTTACACTATAGTCTTGGTATAAATTGTAATTAAACTAATTTTGTAAATTTGGATAATTTATTAATCATAATACACTATCATATTTACATAACTTTTTTAAAATAGAAATTTTTATGTAAAATTATTTGTTATAATAGTAAAACAATGAGATATTAAAATTTATCATTAGACAAAAGTTTTGTTTTAAATTCAAGAGATAGTTGTCACAAGTTTTAACTAGCTTGTTAAATTATCTATCATCTCTGTTTTTATGTATTGGCAATTATCAAGTTATGACGTATTTTTTTATTATATTTTTTGAAATAGAGTAATATTATAATGTATAAAAGTTGTTCAATGTTGACCAAGACTTACATCTACAGAAAAATGAAAAATCTGACTAGCACCAAATGTCAGTTTATACATATAAACATCTATACTGAAATCCGATGCTTTGCAATGATACACCAACAACTGCCGTAACTATGTCAGTTTTTCAAAATATTTCCTGTGTGAATCCAGACATCATTGTAGCAGCCCCATGATTCCTTTGGCATAGAAAGAACTGGGCTGCTTATCATGGCCACTGCAGGATATCTTTCTGCAATGCTTCATTTGTCTTGAATTTCTTTCCTCCCAGATGCTCTTTAAAGGGCCCAAATAAATAGTAATCACAGGGGGCTAAGTTCAGACTAGAAGGGACATGGGGCAAAATTTCCTGGTTCATTTCAGCTGGAGTTGCTGTTAATTGAGCATATGGGGCTGGGCATTGTCATTGAGAAGAATGGCATTTCTGGACAACTTTCTAGGTTTTTATTAGAAGCATTTTGTACAGCACCTTTCATCAATGTGTATTAATACTGAGCATTAATTGTGACTACTTTTTCCAAAAAATCCATATGGATAACACCTTGCATGTCTCAGAAGACAGTTTCCAGTCTTACCAGCAGAGAGTGCATTTATTTATTTATTTATTTTTTTTTTGTGGTGGGGAACCATTATGCTTCCACTTCGTGCTGCTTCTTTTAATGTCTCGGTCAAATGGGTCTGCCATGTTTCATCACACATGATTGATTCCAGAAATTCATTTTCAGCTCAAACAGACTTGGGAGTGGCTGACAGATTGTCGTGTGTCCATTTCTGATCAAATGTCAGCTATCAGTGAACCCATTTTACACACAGACTTTGTGGAAGAGTTAATGCTTGTGAATGATTCTCAACACTGCTATATACAATATCCTGCACTGTTACATGCCTGTTCTCAAAGATAACTTGCTCAACATATGTGACAATCATTGGCCTGACTACATTTGGACAAACATATTCATTTGTCATCAGTTCTCATTCTTTGCCAAACTGTCAACACTATTTGTACACTCTTGTCTATGACATTGAGAAAATTGAAATAACAGTATGGGGAACAAAGTTTCAAATGGTTAACATTTTATTTCACAAGAAATTTGATTATGTACTGCTGTTCCATGGCTACAGACATACTACTCACTGTCATGATCATTGTAACTGCTGTGCATGTGCCAACCAAATACATCATGCAAGATATAGGATATTGCAGATAATATCCCACAGCAACGTTATGCCCTCTGCAAGTTTTATTGTGCTACAGTTAGTCTTTGATTTTTTTTTAACCCATGCAACTCGATACTGTTTAACTCATCACCACAGGATAAATTGAATACTTTTTTCTGTCCCACACTCGTTTAGATGTCTGATAAGTCAACTCCCCTCCGGAAAAAAATGAGTTCAGACCACACTGCTTAACATCAGAGCAGAATCTGATTTTGCAGTTTCTCACCTTTTATTCATGCTTTATTTGCAGCGTTTCACATTTTTCTTAGAGATGAGTATCCGTAAGCTAACAACACTTAGGCTGAAGGAAAAATACGAACTTGTATCTGAATTTGAATTTAATAAAACTTTGCAAGCCGAATTTGCAAAACAAGAAAACCTTCCAAGAACAACATTGATGTGAATTCTGAAGAAAAAACAGGAAATTAAGAAACTTTTTCTCGGATCTTTGTTGCAGCTGTCTCAAACACCAGAGAAAGTTGCTATACAAAGATGTTGAAGATACTTTGATACGTTGACTATAGCAAATTCATTTATTGAATCTTCCTGTTTCAGGTCTGATACCAAAACAAAAGCGATGGAAATTGCTGAAGTACTTTGAGTAGAAACCAACTTAAGTGCCAGTGATGGATGGTCAGAGATACATTGCATTTACTGTATAAAGCATACTGTATTTTCCTAATTGTAGTTTTGTGGTTTTTTCAACTTTATTTTAGTCATCATATTGGATAACTCAACACATTTGCACTTTCCCTTGGAATGTTGACTTATGCAGACTATATACAGAGTACCTAAAAGTAGTTTTTGCTAAGTTCTGCTAAATATCTGAATATGACAGTACAAAATATTTGATGGTATAAACCTTTTATAGGTTATTAGTGTCGATACTCTCGACGCAAACCAATTTGACCCACTAGAGGGACCTACCCAATAACCAAACAAAAGGTTTTATGACCCTTTGTCTTAACTTGTTCCTTTGTTCGGACTACTGTCTGTCGACATGTGCGGACGTTCATCCTACTGCTATGTAAAGACTCTTGTACATTAATTCATAGATTAAAGGAAGATACCTTAACCAGTGTAATATGTTTCATCTGAGTGTCTCTCCGCTGATTCCGAATTAACGACAATTAGTGAGATCTTAAAAAATGTAAAATAAGAGATGATGATTGATAATTATATTCTTTTAAGTTTATTAATTTTAGCTTTATATTTTCTTTTTTTTTTTTTATTGTCATATGTTTTAACAGTGCATTTATTCAAGTGCAGTGGTACCTTAGGATACGAAATTAATCTGTTTTGAAACTGAGATTGTATCATGAAAATGTTGTAAGGTGAATCATTTTTCCCCATACGATTACATGTAAAATAAATAAAAAATTACATTACATTAAAATTAAAGTACATTAAAAAAAATAACTATAGTAAAGAAAACACCAAAAAATGCATTTTGTAGTTGTAAATGTATAAATAACCATAATAGAATAATAATTGATTAAAAAAAATGTAGTTTTATTTGCACTTTATCTTTGATGATAGATGACAGTGGAGGTGTAAACTGGTGGCAAAAGAGAGGGAGAAGGGAAATGATACTAAAACTTAACTTACATAACATAATGTAACAATAACTTAAAAATAACTTAGAACTATCAATGAATGCTCTTAAGCCTTACTAAGGCCAGAGCGAGATGCGAATTAGTGTTGTTATATTTATATATATATTTTTAATTTTTATTCACTGCTTTTTGCTTTCTTTCTTTCATTTCCACCAACACTTTCATTGGATAGAGGTTGCTTGGTAAAATATCTATCCAAAGAAGTTTGGCTTTGCCTACTTTTTAAAATGTTTCTAAAATGACTTAGGCAAATGTCATTACTCCGAGCAGCAATATGACCAGTGTGAACCTTTTCGAGATGTTTCTTTTCAATAAAATCAGTCACTTTCTGATAATACCTCAAGATTTCCTTTATCAAGCGA